TTCGGTACTAGTTTCGCGCCTAGGCGGTGCATGGCTTGGGGCGTGACGGGCCACAATAGGAGTACATGTGGACGTGCTTCTCGTTAGAAGACTTGGCGTCATGAAGATAGGACAGTCTAGTTAAAATAATAGTTAAAGTAATAGGTTTTATTTCATTCATTTTAAATTGCAGTAGTGAAGATGTATTTCCCTTGAGCATTGTCAATGTATTTTCATGATGGATGAATATAATAAAATGTTCTGTCATGTTGGTTTTGTATGAAGATTGTGAATTACGATTCAGAATCATTGATATTTTCTTCTTGTACTGTCTTTTTTTATAGCCGACTGTCCCTTTTCTTGTGTTTTGTTGTTCCCTGGTTGGGAAATCGATGTCAGCTGCAAAACTTCATGGCGATTGAGAGGTCGAATTATGTGATATGTATAGGATGTAGTCCTTTTTTTTCACTATATGCCCGAAGTATGTAGTATGAATGACCATGTGAAGAGAGTCGACCATGGATTAGTAGTATACATGTAGACGAAATTATAAATATGGTACGGAATTAGAGGGAGTATTAATAAGATTGTTCCTGTTGGAGTACGTAGTATGGGGTGGGCTGTTTCTGTGTGAGTACGAAGTATGTAGTACTTTGTATCTGGAGGGGTATGTAGTATGTAGTATGTATGTGTAAGAATCAAGGTGTTTGGAAGTGTGTAGTTTAATTTGTCGCACTAGCTGAGAATTCTTTTCAGGTTTTTTTTTGAGGGAATTCTTCTCAGGTTAGTTGTGGCACGCACGGAGTGGCATCCTATTGAGAAATTTCAGGGTAGTTGAGGCTGGTGGCCACCCATGCATGTAGGGGCCGCACGCTGAGAATTTTGTGGGATGTTTATCCTGGCGAGCTGCCAGGCACGTAATTAAGGGAAGTAGTTAGTAGTGCTTCTGTGTTGGTGTGCGATAACAAACTCGCGTTTCTAGCCATTCCGTTGCTTGCAGAAAGTGTCTTGTAGACTCAGTTGCTTGGGAAGGTTTGATGGATCCAGATCCGATGAGTGACGTCGCATTAGGAACCGAGAAACAGCCGAGCATGGTGGCTGGGGAAACCGGCAGCACGGTCGCCGGTGGAGGGATGGACGCAGATGGTGGCAGTGCTGTCGTACGTATCATTCAGCAGGAGCAGAACACGGGCGCAGAAGATGGCCTAGAGAAAATTCCACTCGAGAGGTAATCCTTGTACGGAAACTAATATTTTATTTTGGTAGTCATGAATAATCCTGCTACTAGTGATGATCGTGGTTTCTATGTAGGGTGATAGTTGATAATGAAGTTGCTGATGCTCCCATTCCTAGTTGCTTTTATCAACCATCAGCAGTAGTGCCCAAATTAGGGCAATTATTCAAGGAAGACACAGATGGGTTTGCATTTTATAATCTTTATGCTGGATTCCATGGTTTCGGTATTAGGCATCACAAGAAAAGAGATAGGAATGGAGGTGTGAAAAGCATGCAAGAGTACTGCTGTGTACGCCAGGTGCGTGTGTAAAATTTGTACTTGTAGATTGAGTACAGATGCCTCTGTTTATTCATTTGCATCTTTCATATTGAACAGGGGATAGACAAAAGTACGAAAGGTGCATCAACTAGGATTGGTTGCAAAGCTATGATTAGGCTTAACCGTTTTTCAGAGAGGCAACAATGGATGGTGACAAAATTTGTCAGTGTTCATAACCACGAACTTAAAAAATAAATAAGCATTACTAATCAGTATAGGTCCCACAACTATATTGATGATGGCACGAAGAGTATCGTGCAAGGTTTGGTAGACAATGAGATGCCTCCAACGGGCATGTACGGATTGCTTTCAGGAATGCATGGAGGCCCTGGTTTGGCGCCTTTTACAAGAAGGGTGGTGAACAGATTGGCCTATTCTATTCGGAGAGATGATTGTGCGGATGATATTGAGAAAACATTGGAGTACTTTCAAGAGCTGCAGAGTCGGAGCAAGAACTTGTATTACACCATGCAGACAGATGGGGCTGGTAGGATTAAAATCTATTTTGGTCGCATGCACTGTCGAGACTTAGTTTTGAGCACTTTGGTGATGTTGTTACGTTTGATACAACATATCAGACAAATATGTATAACATGCCTCTTGGTGTTTTTGTTGGGGTGAATAATCATTGCCAAACTGTAGTATTTGGTTGTGCAATGATGAGAGAGGAAACAGTGGAATCTTTCAAATGGTTGTTCCGCGCTTTTAGTAAGGCGATGCATTGGAAGAAACCAGCGGCAATTCTCACAGGTATTTTAAATTAATTCCGAAAAACAGATGGAAGTATCTTCTGTTATAGTTTTTATTTTGTATCTTTAACCGATTATGAAGTTGTTTATTCAGATAACTGCTATCAGATGGAAGCGGCGATCAAAGCTGTGTGGCCTGGTGTGTATCACAGAGTTTGCAAGTGGCATATTTTGAAGAACGCTAAAGAGAACCTTGGAAACATATATAGCAAGAGGAGCACATTCAAGGATGAGTTTCATAGAGTTCTGAATGAACCGCAGACAATAGACGAGTTTGAAAAAGCATGGACTGATTTAATCAAGAGGTATAATCTAGAGGAGAGTGTGTACTTGAAACGGATGTGGGATATTAAGGAGAAGTGGGCTCCTGTTTACTTCAAGTCTTATTTTTTTGCTAAAATGTCGACCACTCAGAGAAGTGAGAGCATGAATCATGTTCTGAAGAAGTATGTGAGGCCATCTTCCCCAATGAATGTGCTTGTTAGAAAGTATGAAAGTTTCTTTTATGACAGAATTCAGGAGGAAGACGCGGAGGAGTTTCACACATCTGATGTAAGTTTTTAAATATGTGTGGAGTTGATTTAAAATAAGCTTGAATGAGTATTACTCCTGATTTACAATGAATTGTATACTTTTGGTATTGAAGGACAAGGTGATTACAGCAACGAAGTCGCCTTTGGAAAAACATGTTGCACGTGTTTACACAAGAGGTGCTTACAAAAAGTTCAAGGAACAATTTGTGTGGAGTGTCTCGTATGATATAAGACCATCGATGGATGAACATCATTTTATGGTGATACATATGGGCGAAGAAAAGGATAGCTGGGGCAGGAAAGAGTATGATGTGTATGCAACTATCGGTGAGAGAGATTTTTCTTGTGTCTGCAAACTGTTTGAGCACTTGGGAATACTATGCCGGCACATATTGAAGGTGGGTAGTATTGATTGTGAGCAAACTTGTGACGCTTATTGTTTCTTGTTTCACATTATGTTAACTGGGTTGAATAACTTTGCGTGCAGGTTATGGTGCAGTTCGGGTTCAGGGAGATACCAGAACAGTACGTGAAGAAGAGGTGGACTAGAAGTGCTAGAGATTCCATCCCAGAACACCTAAAAGAGTACGTAAATGATAATGAAGCTGCTGCATCGAGGACTTATCGACATGACCTGATGTATCAGACGGCACTCGATATGGTTAGGCTCGGTGATACGAACACAGAGTCGTATCGGAAGACTATGGATGTCATGTGCAAGCACATTAGTGATTTGAAAATACTGGCTGCCACAGAAGAAACAAGCACCAAGGAGAGTAGAAAGAGTGAAAGATTATCAGGGAAGATAGTTGCTGCTGATGTGATGAGTGAGTTCGACGAGGACCTGCTGAACGATAACTTTGTAGATGACTTTGAGGCACAAGAAGGTGCTGGTGAAGAATCGTTTGATGAGGAAATAGAAGGTCAGGAGTTTGTAGAAACTCCATTTGGATGTGACATACTTCCTCCAGAATTTAGAAGAGGGAGGGGACGACCTAAAGTCCGAAGGTTCAAGTCAAAGGCAGAAATGGCGTCTCGGCATGGTAAGAAAAGCGGACACGTATCCCAAATGAAAAATGTTGAAACTGGGAGTAGTTCTGCGGGGGCTAGACCGATGCAAATTAGGTATTGTGGCAGCTGTGGTCAGCAAGGACACAATAAAAGTACGTGTGGCCGTGATTCGACTTACAAGAGAAAGTAGGGAGTGTGTCTAATGTGATGTGAGACACATACTTTTTATTTTTAAGAGGATTTTATGCTGTGACATTTTACTTAGGTTTTTGTATTATGTACGTTCGAAAATTGCTCGGATACTTGTGTGTCGAACGATTGATACTTCTTGTTATTTGTCTACTTATGAACTCGTTTGTTGGTGAAATATATTGTGATTTCAAACCAAGTTAATAGTACGTCCTGTTGTTTACCAATTTTTTTTGCTTTTTTTCGTTTATTCTTGTTTGATGAAAATCTGAATCGGTCTTTAGTAATGACTTTGTGTATGTACTGTTAATCGTTTCTGCGTTCTAGGTAGATTATTTATAAGTAGTGTTTTCACCATTCGGGAGAATGTAGAATGGAAATTTTGTTTTTTTTGTATCGTCCAGGGTATTGTGTGATTGCTGAAAAGAGCTTGTGTATAAGAAGTATGCGTTATGTGCGCTGAGGTCGGTGCATCTGTTGCAATGTGTAGATGGCTGCATAGTTCTCGTCTCGTATGTAGTATGTGGAATATGTACTGCATACTCCTGTAGTACTTAACTGGTGTTGTTTTGATGGCAAGGGTTGATAGGAGGTACTTAGTATGTAGTATGGAGTATGTGAACTCAGTTCGTATTTGGTTAATATTTTTTCCCATTGGAGACCATTGTTGTGCCATGTAGAATGATGATCGAGATTACATCTATGGCCGTGGTGCCGAAGATGGAGTATGTAGTATGTTGGTATGAACTATGTAGATGTTGAGGCACATACATACTCTGTTCACAGATATAATGTAGTGTAGCCGATTAGGAATAACAGTGGTGGTTGGAAAGGGTAATAATCCATGTATGGAACATAAAATTATGCTATAAGTTGATGGTACTATGTCTTCTATTACAGAGTGTAGAAAATAGGTAATGTGGTATGATCTTAATGGGTATTCTGTCTGCTCTTCATAGTTATTCGTATCGGCAGGTGGTTGTGTTAATTTCTCCTGAGTGCTTTCACCAGCCGGTCGACACTCTCTGGGATTATTGCTTCGTTAGTCTTGAAGGATAGGAGGTTCGCGAGAAAGTCCTTCCGTGCCTCTCTTGAATCCTGCGTATTGTGTATTAGTACAATTGATTATTAACCTGGGGTAGGATACAATTGAATTCTATATATATGTATGGAAGTAAGGATGCTCACATAGGGTAGTGGGTTGACCAAGGATCTTGCATCCCAATTTTTCATGTAACTCAGTACATGGAAAGCAGTTTCCATCCTGCAAGGTAAAATCATTACTAGGAATCCAACGTTATTAAAATGCTTGTGCAGTGTGTATGAATGTACTAACCTGTTAGTAATTGCTGGAATATTTGTGGGGAACTCATGCTGCCAGATTGAAATATCACGTTTCCAATCTGGAAAGGAAAACATCATGCACTCCTGTAATGCCCTAGCAACATGGTCTTTCGTCTTAGAGTGTCGAGCTTCTATGTCCTTCCCTCCTTTGCTTATATCCCTAAAGGGATCCAAGATTTGAATCTTCTCGTTCTCCATGTCGAATGTGTACAGAGAGAAATGAAATGGTTGGTGCAAAGGGACATGTAGCTGCAAAGTTCGAGTAGTATATTGCTCAAAATATTGTGGAGTATGTAGGACACATGAGTGTCGTACGATAGAGGATAGGGTGAATGATAGTGGGTGAACATACCAGTCAGCTTTTTGACACGTCGTATGGTATATGAATGTCATTGAATAAGTAGACATGCTCCTCGGCGTTCCAGTCTGCCCCGCCAGCGGTTGCATGCATCTGTGTACATTAAAAGTGGAGAGTGAGATGTGTGCAATTTGTAGAACTGAAATTATGATGTGTACGTACCGCAAAATCTTGATTTATGAAATGCCTCCAGCCTAAGAAATCGCTACCAGTAAACCTTTCTATCTCATCCTCGAACAGTGCTTGTATAGCAACATTGAAAGCATCATCTTGAAGTTCAGCATCTTGACTAAGGGCTTCTTGTATCTGTTTCAGTTTCAAAAACCTGGGCACAGGTTCAGACATGTGTACCCAGATTTTTCTATGGGAAAGAAGGTTAAATTTATAAAGATAAAGCAAGTAATTTAATACATAATGAGGTAAGGAAGTTTACTGACCTCAGTTGTTCTTCATTAGTAATGGATATAGTATATGTGTATAAATCTTCTAATGCCTTGACATCGACCCTCACACTTATGTATTGTTTGCACAGAAATGGGGACTGAACCATTCTACTGGGTCTAATTATTCGCTTTGGTATGTTTACAAGCATATCAGATGGTTCTCCAATGATTCTCCTCCTTGTTTTGGGTTGAACTTTTGGGAGACCACATTCCTCATGTATCGATATTCTTGCCGCACTCATTTCTTGTAATAAAGAATGAGGTGATATGGATGTAGGAGTTTGGACAGGAAAATCTGTAAATGGTGAAATAATGTGTGTTAATGCTTCATATTGGTTTGGAGTGCAACCACCTTACTTATTTTGGTTTTACCTGTTTGTGCAGCTTGTTGCTGCCGATCTGGTGTATCTGGCACTACGGCTGTATCAGCTACCATGTTGAATTCCGTTGATAAGTTTGCAGACACTCGGGGGATTTGGTTGCGTACTGAGATGCTGTTGTCGGGCTCAAATTGGCTCAATCCAATGTTGAAGGTTGGGGTCTCCAAGTTAACTAGAGAATTAAACGTTCTATGAGTAGTAGGAGTGTTCGCTGACTGTTGTGCAATTGCTCCATACTCGTAGCGGATGCTGTGGGGATTTCGTATCTGCATATACAATCATGGATAATAAATAATGCACATATTTTTGTAAAAAAAACTTGGATGTAGTATGTAGAAAAGAGTATGTTGTATCGTGCTAGGACCAAATGGTGTTTTCATGTAGTATCGTGAAGAGGAGTATGTATGACAATGGGAAGTGTAGAATGTAGTATGTAGTATGACGAAAAAAATACATGGTATGCGCCGTAGAGTAGGATGTAGTATGTTGATTAGAGAATGTAGTCTGATGAGACAAGTATGTAGTATGCTGAATGGAGTATGCTGAATTATGTAGATAAGAGAGTATCGTAGAATGTAAATGGCATAGTTAGTCAGAGTATGTAGTATGATATTTCAGTCCCTTGTAGCAAATATATAACATGTTACCTTTAATTTTCCGTACGTTGGAAAAGGCAGTCGATTATGCAGAACTATGTCACGTTTGATGAGTTTGTCGACACGCTATCGTTG